AGGATTTTCTCTGATTTCTTCTGTGGTTGATTTCTATTTTCAATGCACAGTGGTTTGATAGTAAACATGGGGTGATTTCAGTTCTTTTATATTTATTTATTTAGGCATTGTGGATTAGTATGTGATCTATTTTGGAAAAAGTACCATGTACTGCAGAAAAGAATATATACTCTTGTAGTCGGGTGGGATACTCTGTAGATATCTATTATGTCCGTATGTTCAAGAGTGTGTTTCAGTGTTGACATTCTTTATTGATATTTTTGTTTTACTGCATCTGTCTCTTTGTGAAAGTGGGGTATTAAAACCCCCCACTACTATTGTTTTAGTATTTATTTGATCTTTTATGTTCAGCAATATTTTTTTTTTCAAAATAAGTGCTCTTGTATTCAGAGCATAAATATTTATAAGCATTATCTTTTCTTGTTGGATTGATCCCTTTTCTAGTATGTAGTGAATTCCTCTGTCTTTTCTAATCAATTTTAGCTTGAATTTTATAGTGTCTGAAATTTAAATTCCTACCCTGTTTTCAGGGTCCTGGCCCATGAAATATTATTTTCCATTCTTTGATTTTTAATTTATGAATATCTTTTTTGGATTAAATAAGTTTCTTGAATGCAACACACTGTTTGATTCTGTTCTTTGATCCATTCTGGAAATTTGTGCCTTTTAACTGGAGGCTATTAGCATTGAGAGATATTACTAAGAGTTGTTAATTAGTATCATTGTACTCTTTCTCTACTCATGACTCCTTTGCTTTGCTTTTCTTGTCATTTTTATTGTTGTTGTTTATCCATTGACTTTGCTTAGTGTTTTTAATTCATTCCATCTGGGCTTTTGGCTTTAATGGTTTCATTGTTTCTGTCTAGGATATTTTTGAGTATTTTCTGGAGTGCTGGCTTAGAATTCACAAATCTCTTGAGTTGCTCTTTTTCATGAAAAGTCCTTATTTCTCTATTTTGAAGGAAAATCTTGCTGGATATGTTAATCTAGGTTGGAAGTTCTTTGGTCTTAGCGCTTGAACTACTTCACTCCAAGCTCTTCCAGCTTTAAGTTTTGTGATGAGACATCTACTATAATTCTTACGAGTTAAACTTTATATGTGACCTTTTTTTGTTTTTCTCTTCTTTTAAGTTTTTGTATTTTTGTTGGACATCTGGCAATTTAATAATGATATACCTTAGTTTCTTTTTTCCTCATAGTAGTTTGGTGTTTTGCAAGCCTCACTTACTTATATGTTGAACTTTTTTCTCTTACTTGGGAAATTTTTTATTATAATTTCTGTAAATAAATTGATGATTCCATCTGTGTTATCTGCTAGCTTTTCTCTAATTCCAGTTAGCCCTGGATTGGTCTTGTTGATGTTTCCTAGTAGCTGCTGGATGATTCCTATTGTTCTGTGTGTGTGTGTGTGTGTGCGCGCGCGCGCGTGCGCGCGCCTTGAGTATTTTGTCATAATTTATCATTTGTCCTCAATTTCCAACACTCTGTCTTCACATTGGTCATTTCTACAACTTACGAATTTTATGTCATTTTTTATGTATAGTATTTCTGTCTAATACCTTTTCATGGGTTCTACATCACTAGTGAATTTATTATTCATGTTTTGAATTGTTTTGGTCAGCTCTTCCAATTTGTATTTGTTTCTCCCATATCTACATTGGACATTTTGAGTGATAACTCTATAAATGTTGGGTAATGTCCTCTTTGAACTCACCAAGCTTCTTCATCTCTTCTTTAAACTTTTCGTAGAGCTCTGCCACCTGGCATTTGCTTTCCTCTCTATTTGTGTATTGTAGCCCCTTGATCTGGCTTAGGAAAATTAGGAGACGTGGAGGATCTCCTGTTGCCTTGTTTCTCCATGGTTCTGTGTGTATGTATATCTTTTTCCTTTTGTTTTTGTTTTCCTCCCCCTTTCTTCTCCTTTTTGTTGGTATTGTGCGTTGTGGTCTAGCAGGATGGGAAGAGCTCGTAGTTTTTATGAAGATTTTTTTTAGTACAAAACTACCTCTCAATATGTTTTCAACTTTATATGTCCAGAGATAGTTTTTACCCCTTCCATTATTTAATGTGATTTGGACTCTGTCCCTATGTTGTGCAGAATTATTTCCATTTATAAGAGCATCAACAGATTTAATTACTTATGTAAGATAGACCATGTATTTACACTTTCACCAATTAACAATACTCTCAATTATTATTAGCAGTGCTTCTATGATGTGCCAGGAGAACTGGAGGGAAGAGATTGAAGAGTGAGTGAAAGAGGAGTGTAAATCAGTAAAAGGAGAGGTTGGTAGAAGTGATAGTGATAAGTGAAAAAAAGATTTGATATGGGATTACACTCTGTTGGAGTACTTTTAATTGGAGTGAAAGTTTAGTGGTGAGGGTTTTAGGAAGATAAGTGTGGGGGCGAGGATGAGCTACGGGAGGAAGAAGGTATACCTTGTGATTAAGGAAAGCTGTGTGGCTATCAGAACCTGTTGATAAGTTTGTGTACTCATAATGCGGAAAAGAGATGTGGGAAGACTGAGGCTAAGGAAGACAGGGAAGAGCCAGAAGAACAGGATGGGGAGGATAGAGGAAGAGAGACTGAGGAAGAGCAGAGCATGCCAAATTAAAAACTTGAGAGCAGGAGTTTATACACTGGGGAAAAGAATTAAGAGACAATAGTATCACTATGGGAGCTTGAGTGAAGAAACTAGATACGGAAAGAGAAAAGAGAGAAAACCTAGACACCAACTAAATCAAAGCAAATAGAAGAAAAAGCAAAGAAAACAAAAAACGAATTTAAAAAAACAAAACTCGGAAGATATCTGACAGGGACTCAGTTTAAATATTCCAACAAGAGAATGTATGTGATTCCCATGTAACCTCTTTGCCAAAAAGTCTGGGAGTACACACCGTTCCCTTCCTGCATCGATTGTGGCATGATTATAGGCGGCCATACCAATATCACCTCGGATCTTGCCACGGCAAAACTAAAGCTGCCCCAGGCTCAGGACTTCATTCTGCCAGCTTGCTGCCATGCCGGCCACCTGACACTGACCCAGTTCTCGCTTTCTTCATCCCCCTCCCCGAGTGAGTGTGATGTGGAATCAGCAACCAGGCAGGTTCACTGACAAGCGAGAGACCACCGAGTCTGAGGTGCACTCATGCACTCTCTAGCAGGCATCCTCAGGGGTCTGCAATTGTGTTCACACTGTGCCTGGGGATCTTGCAGGAGATAGCAGTGACGTGTGGAACCACTCAGGAGTCATTTCACTCTCAGGAGGCTGCAGATTCCCTGGGGTATGTGTGCCTGCCTGCTGGAGTCTGCAGTCCCTGCCGCTCTCCAAGGTATGGGTGTGGGCGGTTCCCCAGCCCTCGGTGAGCACTTGTGAGGACTGCAAGGGACAGCAACAGCTACAATTCTTTCTTAAGAGTCCATGAGGCTGCAGAATTCCCCCTTTTTTTTGTCTTATTTTTTGCTCTTTGCCAATGGATGCATGTTCTGGTGACTGGGGTGGTGTGCTGGCATGCAAGGCGGGAATGGAGCTGACTTGGCCTGGGGCTTGGGGTGGTGCCTATGACCTAGAAGTCCAGTGGACATGCAGCACTCGTGCTAGGCTGTTTGGACATGCTGTTCACAATTCAGGCGAGCTGCAGACCCACAGAGCTAGTGCCAGCAGTCTGTGTGCTCTGACTGTGACTTGGTGGACACTCCAGGCAAGTGGGCTATTTAGACAAGACCTGGGGGCTGTGTGCAGACAGACATGCCAGTGAATCCACAGGCAGTCTGGCAGGCAGGCTTGTCCCATAGTATGCGCTGGTGCGGAGGACACAGGAAGGCAGCTTTCCCCGGTGTTTGGAAGTGGGGTTATGTTTGTGTCGGGGGCGGCAGTGGTGATTGCAGTCTGTTCCAGGAATCTAGTCTCTGTGGCACTAGGTTGGTCCCTCAGAACTGTGCCACTATCAAAATGACTGTTCCCCAGAGAAGCAGGAGTAGGGGTGGCCAACATGCTGCAGCAGCGCCACTTCCCTTTTTCAGTTGTCCATTTGATTTGATCTTCATATATTGTCTTATTAATTTTCTCTTTCAGTGTGTACCCCTCCTACCTTCAGAACAGCATCCTTCTGAAGGGATCCTTTCTGAGCTTTTATGCAACTCCACCTCTAGTCAGCCACGTTGAATCCCCTGTCACTTTTTTCCACAGTGACCTTGAGAATGTTACTTGTTTGCAGGGGAGATGAACAAGTGTCAGTGATCTTTGTCCTAATAATATTTCTTGGTGGAAACTCATCCAAGATGATTAAAATAAAGAGGAGAGTAGATAGTACGGAACTGATTCGGGGCATTATATCTATGTTAAATACAGCTAGGCCCCATGGGAACTAGGAATAGCAACTAAGAAACTTGTCAGAGACCAGAACTGACACTGGCTTAAATCTCTCTCTCTCTCTCTCTGTCTTTCTCTCTCCATGGATTTTGCTTCTGCCTGTAAATCTGATCCTATTTATCCATGACCTTTCCCTTGTTGCCTGGTTGCAATCCCACCGGTTGTATGACCTTAACACATTACTTAAGCTAGCCTAGTATTAAATTTAAGGTCACAGAATTCTGTTGCATGCAGTAGTACCTGGACTTCAGATCTTTTACCCCATCAGGAAAAGAAAAGAATTACTATAACTCACTGAGTATTGTAGGGTCCAAATAATACAGGTTTAGTCTGTTCCTCACAATGATGGCAGCTAGACTAACACATTTTTGTCACCTCTACCCAAAGGAAAGTAGTCACCATAGTATATGAAAATGAACTACTTTGCATGTTCATTTCTGAGTTTTGCATGCCAGGGTACATTATTGTTGACTCTTATTAGTGAGGCTCCTCTTAGTTGATCAAGGGCTTTTTATATCAGGGGTTCCATCCAACTGATAGCAAAAGCATGAGAAAGGAACAAGCCTTTCTTAAAGGGAGATGTTTCATGAAAGAATTCTTGACAGTTAAGAACGACTCATATGAGGCTATTACATAGATAAATATTTAATATGCTATATGTGATTGTGGTTACAGATACATATTTGGTGCTTCATTTATTAAAAAGTGTGGGTTACATACATAGTATATGAAGTTTGGATACAAAAATCAGAAGATAACTGTTCAAGAATTGAACATTTATGGGATAAATGCTTAAAAATGCTTTGATAAACCTTTCATTTCTACTCAGTTCTCTTGGCAGTGTGTTTTGAAAATGATTTCTTAATTGCAACATTTAAAAGAAAAACTTTGGTTTCTCCAAATCAAACATTACCGAGATTTGTTTCATCGAATGGCAGCTTTCTCAGCTTTCCCCTTTGTTTTGTCTGTGCCTTAGCCTGCACATTTTCCAAGACAGGAAGTTAAATGCTTTAATGTGTCCATTATTACATTAAGTGTGGTGAGATCTATTTTAAATATTTCTTCTCATAGAGGGAGAAGAGATAGGAAAGTATGGAGTGAGATGGGGAGGAAAAATATCTCAAGTGAGAGAATAAATTGCTTGCAAGAGAGTTATTAAGCTGAGTATGAATGCGATGTTTTCTAGATTCTCTACTAAAAAAAGGACAATTATTATTAAACCATGAATTCAGGATAATACTCCAAAGATTTGTGTGTTTTGCTTGCCACTCATTGCTATGAGTTCCCACTCAAAGTTACAAATTTCTCCTCGGTGAGAGAGTTGATCTTTCTAGTTTCAAGATGGTTAACTGATGCTTGGGAACAGCTTTCTTTAAATATTAACTGCTCTGCTATGCCACAGAATCTATTTGGTGAAAAATATGTTTTACACAAGAGGCAGCTGCTAAATTGTTCACTATAGAAGCTCACATTAAGCAAATGTTAAAATCACGCTTGTCTAATAGAATGAAAAGACTAGGTAACTCGAGGGCTCTAGTAACTATTTGGGCAAGACACACTAACATATACCAAGACTTCTTGTCCAAACCTACATAGAGTTGCCTAGCCCCTGGGTTTGGATGTTTGGGTGTTGGAAACTGAGCTCTCCTATCTGCTCCCTGGCAACTGCCAGCCAAATGTAGAACAGAGATCCTCCATATTCTGTTTTCTAGGTAAGATTCCCTAGGATAGTAAAACAAAGTTTCTCATCTAGCTGCATTCTGAGTTCAGAAAGCCTCTCTGAGAATATGGAAGATATAGCAAGAAGCAGATTGATTTTTCAGTCAAGCTGGGCTGCTCTTAAATGTTTCTAGCCAGTGAGTGAAATTCATAGGTTGGGTACTTCTTTACGCTTCCTTCTCTGCTTTCTTGCCTTTTTTCTCAGGGGCTATTCTCTTCCAAATCTGCTAAATTTCCAGGATACAGAATGGCCTGCTAAAGGGAACACTTTCAGGAGTAAAAGTCATTTCCCTGAAATATAAGTAAGCTTTTCAGTGATTTTCAAACCATTAAATTTGGAATGTGATAGCTTGGCAAAGCCCTAGAAGGGAATGTTTATTCGTTTATCAACTGATTTGTTAATGCTTGAATTTTTGTTGAACCTTCTGGATACGTACTATTTTGGGGGACATAATTTTCATCCTATTGAAATGGATTGTGCACAGAGAACACATCAACCAAATAAAATCAATGGCTTTGAAGAGGATGAAAATAAAAACAAAATTTTCGCAAAGTTCTCCTGTTATACACTAAAAACTGAAATTTATTTAGAACACAACTTATAAAGATTTGTGGTACACAGAGTATTGTGTAGCGGGGAACAAAATGTTTTCAAGTTTGAGTCTATTGATTTGAAAGCCGAATTACTGATATGCTTCAATTCTATGTTTCTGTCTGTCTAGGAGAAAGAAAATGTGATACTCTGTGCATGTGTGTAGAGGGGGAGGAGGAGGAGAATGGAGGGCTGTTCGTGTGGACAAGCTGGCAAACATGGGACATAGACTCCTAATTTACTCTACAGTTGACAGTTGACATCTTCGTCTGACCCAACACCAAACTGTATCAAACCCAGGCAGCAGCTCTTAGGTCATGGGCCATTACATGGGCTAATCCTAGGTTTCGCTCTAGAATGAGGACCATATTCTCCTACCTCCGCTGACCACAATATAGTTCCACCACCTTTCTCCCTCCCAAATCCACTTACAATTGTGGTTCCACTTTCATAGGGGAAGAAAATATGAGCACCACAGGCTCTTGCATTAAGTTTCCTACTTTCCCAGACAAGGGAAAGTAGAGAGGAGGGGGAGGTGGCAAAAGGAATAATAAATAGATGTTACGTATGTTTTCTTGGAAAGATCATCCCACTTCTTCTAATTTCCCAGAACTAGAAAAATGTATTTTCTTTGTATAACCTTGGAAACTACTACTAACATAGGACTTTTCCCCTGTATATTTAAAAAGAACTTTCAAAAGTTTTCAAAAACAATTTTAGGGCAATTGCTTTCTAATTTTGGGCTCCCTTAAGTTTATTTCTGCATGTTAGAAGAATTTCAAATATATGTGTATGTGTATATATATATATATATATATATATCGCACTTTAAATGTAAAATTACATGTAGCTATATAGATATAGATAGATAAATAGATATATGGAAATAATGTCACCTTTTAGCTGGAGGACATTCCTTCTTTCCTTCATTTTGTAGCTTTCACAACATGGCCCTTGCAGTGCCTTTCCTGCACTTTACCTCCTGGATCAGCTCATGCAAAGCTGAAGGCCCTTCTCCTCCTCCACTGACAAGTCCAGCCACTGGCACAGGGTGTGCAGTGTGTTGGGAATATGGTTGATGGGAGTCTTCATAACAGTAACCCTTGGGTAAGACCTGTGATGTCTGGTTCACTCTGTGGGCACCTTAAAACATTTGCATATTTCATATAACATGGATGAAGTATTAACATTTTTAATTATATTTTTTAAATGTTTGGCATTCAAGAAAGAAACAATTTACCGAGATTCTTTGGTTCCTAACATTTTTAGCTCCATGAGAGAATCAAGGGTTGGCACTTTTCCAACTGATTTTGAGCAGAGCAGAAAGATGTTAAGGAAGAGAGTGGCAGAGGTCACCCTGGAATGTTTGACCTGAGCTTCTGGTCAGTCCCACACACATGTGCAGGATGAGAACATCTTCGTGGTGACAATATTGATCCCACCTTGCTACTGTTGTTGGCAGCAGACCCAATCACTCCAAACTCTTTTCAGAATGTGAAATGTCAGACAATTCAGACATGTTATCTTTTGAAATAAAAAAAATACAGAAAACTCACCATGCAGTCAGTGTTTACCTGAAGTATAGAGTAACATAATTGCTTCACTTACAATATCGCTAGGAAATAACTGAATGAGCTACACACATACTGAAAGTGTGCAAATAAAAAAGGGTAACAGAAGGAGGAAATACAAGACTAAATGATGTAACCTTCTACTTAAACATTTCAGAATTTTATTAATCCTTTAAAAACCACTTGCTTGGTTGTAAATTCACTCAGTACCCTCACCTTATTACCCTGCTATATGGTTCAGTTTGATTCAATTTACTACTAAATTATGTGAATCATTACTTAATCAAATCTGTTAATGATAAGAAAAAGATTCTAGCAAGATTTATAATAATGAAATACAGAATTAAACGTTTAAATCGACTAAATAGTATCATGACGTATCGATTAGTTGTGTATGAGCCATGCCAGGAATATAAATCTGAACTCCTGACTATAATTACAGGTTACTAATGCAGGAAGCAAAATAGTGTGAGAAGATGGGTTGCTAGAATATCACAATATTTTGCAAAATACAGGATATTTCAAAATTCTGTCTATACAGAAAGCCTCCATATACAGTTACAGTAATTTTTCTAAATATAATTTTGTTTTTGAGGGAAACCATCTTTGGAAAAAATAGATGGCATTATAAAGTAATTAGCCATTTAAAGTGTAACAATATTTTCCTTTTTTAGTATATTGTTCTCTTGATAACGAGGTGGGACATCACTATTGCATGGCAACAGCTTTAATTTATGTGACTGGAGTTAGAAATTTTTGAACTAATTGTACCCTCACAAGGATTTCACTAACTTGAAAATTAAGACTTTTGGCTTATATCACAGTACACAGATAAATTTATAAATAGGCTACTGTTGATTTTAGGTCATTGATTAAAAACAGAATTTGATAAATTTACAGGGAGGACAGTGAAGGAGATAATTGTGTATTAATATGAATTGTATTCAGGTTGACTTTGTATAAACACATTATATTTATCATATCTTTATAGTGTCTAGTTAACAGGAAGATGCTCTAAGGGAAAGATCAGTATTTTAAATAATGTATTTTCTTCCAAAATAAAGTAAAACCCTTACACCTTTTACTAACCAAATTCAGAAGTAATTAAGAGGTTATCTCCCTGAATCAGAGTTAAAACAATAAACTAGACCATTTAAGCTCCCTTGAAACTGGTCTTTCACATGGATATTCTGTCTTAGTCTAATTTAGGTGGTGATCATCCTCTAATCCCATTTGATGATGTCATATCTTTTTCTTATGCAGTTTTGTTTTAGGAAGGATTCTTTTGTGATTCTGATAGAGGCTGACTGAATTGCTGAATAGAGCTTAATTACCAATGAGATAGAAGAAATGAGGTGGCATTGCAGTGGACAATAAGCTTCATGTCCAAAACAATGTGCATTCCTTGGGATTTTCCCAGTTTGGGTATCTTTGAGCAAAGCTGCAGTGGGAAGATATATAGGTTATTGGAAAATGCCATGCGATTATGGAGGAGATAACTCCCAAGATGATTTTAATAGCCTCACCATATTATTACTTGACTAACTCCTGATAGAATCCTGAACGCACAAAGCGAGGAAGTGAATCCTTTTCCATCAGGGCATGGATTCTCTTCTGGGCCACATCAAAGCTGCTTAAAGAAGGTTCCACCAGGTTCTTCATTGTGATGTCTTTAGTGAAGTGGTCAATATTCACCTGTGGACCAGAAAACAAAGTCACTGAATCAGCCCCAGACTCCAGTGTTTGACAAAGGATGGAAAAGGGGGCAGAATTTGTCATCAATAAAATATAAGATGGGAGGAAAGTCCTAAAAAGTGAGAAATATCATGTCTACTCTGTAGGTAAAGGGGTAAGGCAATGGACGCTTCAGAATGGCACAACTCAGTTTTACACCCAACCAAAGTCAGACAGTCACCAAGTCAGACCTTCCACCAGTAGCAAACGCTGCCACATCTTGATTAATTCCAACAACAACCCAAAGAATGATTCTTTAGTTTTACAGAAAAAGACTATATATGGTATGATTGAAAGATGCAGTGAATGTTTAAATTTTAAAACACATTACAAGAAAAGACACATTGCCTTCAATCCCCCTCAAAGTACTCCCCCTCACTTCAAACACACTTATCCATCATTCTTGCCAGCAGTTCTGGAAGTCCTCTTTCATGAGTGCTTTTATTCACACTGTTGTGGCTGCTTTGATAATCTGAATCCATTTAAAATGTTTATACCTTTCATGGTCATTTTGACTTTGGGAAGAGCCAGAAGTCACATGGTGCCAGATCCAGTGAATAAAGTGGATGAGGACACACCATAATGTTTTTTACAAGCCTGCCTTTCTACTGGATGACAATTGACAGCAGAATTCATTGTATTTTTTACCACACCCTGTAATGATACTCACCTCCAGAGCTACTTCAAGAAGAGACAAGTAAGATGGGATAAGTGTGTTTGAAGCATGAAGGAGAATATTAAAGGGAATTTACTATACCACATTTTTAATGTAAACATTCACTATATTTTTCAATATTACCTTGTATTTGCTCTGAGAACTGGGCCACTGCAGGATTCACCTTCTGGGACACCATTCATATTAGAGCCATTGTGAATGGCTCCCCTGGAACTGTGCAGGGTGCAGCCTGCATGAGCTTGCCTGAGGATAATTTGAAAGGAATATTTATACTTCACATTGTATGCTTTAATGACTCTTAAGGGATCTAAATGTAAAAGAGGAAGAAATAGAATCCAAATCAGCCAATTGTCCTGAATTGGAACATTGAAAAACATTTCAGGTCTCTCTTGGGCTTGCTATTGAAAGGAGCACAGATAATTATAGAGCAGCTGTGGGTTAGAGTGAGACAAAGGCATGACCGGGGAGTACCAGGCCAGAACAAACGGCAGAACTGAGCAGTGCTTGAAAGTCTAGGGCCATGTGCTTAATGCAGGCATGATGGAAGACCGAACTGTCAGGATTGGGAGCAGGCTCAGCAATGATGAGGTTCAAAGCCTGTCTTTATGTGTGATGGATGTCTCGGAAGCCCATTGATATTGTACCCAGCAAGCACAGCTTGTGTGGGGCAAAGATGAGAACATACTGTAATATGCATTTCTCTATTCTCAGTATATTATTCTTCCTACCAAACGAAAACAATGCTTCTTCTTTCTCCAATATTAAATATATATGGAGCAAGGTAGGCACCCTTATTCCAAATGGTTGAACTACTAAAAATTATAAAAGTATCTTCTAATCTTATTTTTAATAAACAAGTGATACCTTTAAAACCCTGCAACACAGAATCCACCAATGAAGAGTAGCTACATTTAAAATTATTTTTATGTATATAGACCACCTCTAAAAAGTCATTCTGATACATATCCTCTGCTTATTGAGTTAAGAAAATATTATTTCACTAACTTAAATATGGACAAGTGCTAATTTGCAATATACAAACTACTCATGTAGATACACATAGCCATTTCTCTTTTTAAATCTTAGTTCCTATTTTTACCATTGTGTCTCTCAGTTCCTCAAATTGAAGAGTTGAGGTTAATGTTCAGAGAAAGAAAACTTAGATTACTACAGTGGACCCTCGAGTTACAACCAGCCTGATACATGAACAACTTGAGTCACAACCATAATTTTTGTTTTAACTTATGACTGAAGCCTTGAGTTATAACCTGAATGCTGGCTGCTTGTGCTTCTAGATGGTCTCAGATACAGATTTAACCCTTAAAGAGGAAGGAACATTACAACGTCCTTTCCTGTATAGAGTTAACTGAGAAATCCTGGGCCAATGTCTCTCTAAGGACACTGAGATCTGCCTGTGTACAGAAGAGACACTTGGAAGGCCGTGTAGAGGAGCCTGAGCCTGCAATTGACCAACTTGAGTTACAACCAGGCCTTAAGAATGAACTGAGTTCATAAGTCAAGGGTCCATTGTACTCACCGGAGTAAATTTGTTATATAGGTCAATTTTATTAAAATGAAATAGTAAGCCAGGCCTTTTGGGACACATCTGTAATTCTAGCACCTAAGGGGGGTGAGGAAGGCGGGTCACAAATACAAGTGCTACCTGGGAAATTTAGCCACATAGAGAATCTGTCTCAAAAATAAAAGGAGGGATTGGAACATAGCTCAGGGTGAAGGTCCCAAGTTCAGTCCTCAGTACCACACCAAAAAAGTAAATATTTAAATCAAAAACAAGATTTGCAGAATTGTTAAGTAATGATAACTACAAGTTATTAAATATACTCCAAACATAATATGTATATGTGAGAGGCTTGCAATTAAGAGAACTGAGGATCAGGATTAGCAAGAACTGAGGATTTAGAGACTTACCCAAATTCACACATGTAGGAAGGTCTGAATTTGCATATTTGTATCCATTAATCCCACAGATATTTACCAAATGCCATGATGTGCCCACAGCACAATTCACTTCCTCTCTGAGCCTAGCTCACACTCATTACCCTTGGCTGCCCACAGGTGGGGGTCTTATTATCCTATTGTACCCCTACATGAGCATTCATTACTTATAATGGAGGCCACATTTATTTTTAATGAGAAGGATGTAATTGGTGGCCATCATTTATTTTTTCCAGTAGATCAGCCAGCCAGGATTTTATTTATTTTGAAACTCTATTTTTAATGTCTTATATTTTCATAACCAATCATGTTCTAATAAGGAACCTCCAGAACAATGTTTTCCTAGAGCTCAGAGAAACTAGTGATAGTCTGGATGGATCTCCTCCATGTTCAGGTATTTTAACAAATCCTAGAATTCTGTAAAGAGGAATGAAGTTGGTAGGAAGTTTGAAGGTTGCAAATTAGGAACCCAGTTCAAATGGGGATATGTATGCCCAACTTGAAAGTAAATTATTCTTTGTTAATTAATCTCTTCCTTGTGTACATAAAGGAATTCCATATTGACAGAACAAAAATGGCTCAACATAAATGCTATCCGAAGTAGGAGAGAGCTAGCATATGTCCTTAGAGTAGGAGGTTGAGCAGAAGGGGAGCTCTAGAGAGACTAGTTCTCTAGTTCTCTCCTAGGATTTTTTCATTTTCTTAACCTGTTTTCCACCCTCTGTGTTGTGAAGGGAACACATAAGTTGGTATTAAGTTATACAATTAATCCATCCACTCAAACATATTCACATCTTAAAAAGGGCCAGTGAGGGATAATACACAAGCAAAGTAATAAATATCTAATGTTGGAACTGTAAGAATTGAGCACACACATGGGAGAAAAGGAATGTTTGAGATTTTCACCTTTTATGTCACCTTAAGTAGATTACTGCCTACACAAAGGGTTTGTTCAGTCACCTCTGCGCTTGACTCCAAAACTTTTGAGACATTTAATGTCCCAACTAGATTAAAGAAGCAATGTGAAATTTCAGTGACCTGACCAGCATGGGATGAGCAAGTCTTACTGTGACCACTCTTAAATCTTTACCAGGCTTTTCAGTTTGGTTTTATTGTTACAAAGAAAAGAGTGGACAAATTTCTCCCAGAACTTCGAGATCAACATAGTATACATGGTCTTTAGTAGTACATTTTGATGCTTTTGTTTTAAACATCTCTAGCACAGTGGTCTTGTGCTATTTTGGCTTCTGTTTGTGGAAGTCCTGTTGTCCCAACTAGAGTGTAAATGTCAAAGGCCAGGGGCAGGGAAAACAAAGGATAGAGGAGTAGAGAGTGAGGGAAAAGAGCTTGAATAAAAGAATTGGAAAAGGAAGAGAAACAAAAACAAGCAAGTGGTAGGAATATTTATTAGGTATCAATTAGTTCAGACACTGAGATATATGTTTTCACACCTCCTGATTAACTTAATCCTCACAACTGCACACAAAAATAATCTCTATCATTCGTATTTGCACAAAGGAAGAATCTAGATTCAGAGAGACTCAATGATTCCCTCAAGATTGCACACTACTACCATTCCCTCTTGAGGTCACATAGTACTGAAGAGAGACCCAGAGGGTCACAAAGTAGTCTACACAGGCCAAGTCCGATCTGCTTGATCACACTGCTCTGCCTCCGTACTGACTCAGTAGGTGCCTAACTAAGTGGCCTACACACAAACAGAGCCAGCTTTTATTAGCTCCAAAGGTTGAGCCTGTGTCTCAGGTCTAAATCCTTCCCAATAATTTGTTTATCTGTCCCTTAACTAAGCACACTCACCCCCTGACCCTCAGCACCAACCTCTTTAGGAGCCTCTGTTTGGATGAATTCTTCATAAATTTCCTTTGCCTTCTCAGCCATCTTGGCAGGGGACTTGATCTTCTTGTAGTCCTCACAGGCAATCCAGAACTCAAGGTTCTCCTCGCTGAATTCAGACTTCAGGAAACTTTTGAAACTGGCAAGCCCATCTACCAAGAGAAAAAGTCAGTTGGGGAAATTTGTTAATTTATTTAACAGGCACTATACATGGCTGCATAGCTTAGGTTTCTTTCCTATGTATTTCTTTCATTGGTAGGAACCTTACAAAGGTTAAGTCACTCTTCCTCATTACAAACCTAAGAGGCAGATGTTGTAAACATCTTATTTTATAAATGAGGTCAGAGAGGTCAAATGACTGAACATAGATGCACAGCTGGTAAGGAGCAGAGCCAGGATTCAAACCCAGGTAGTCTGACTCGACAGTACACACACTCTTCCACTATCCTAAGCCACTTCTCAAGAGATGCACAATTCAGCTTCTGGGAAGAGAAACTGTCCAATAATGGCTATATGCTTTCTATGGTACTTTAACTGAGAAAAAAATAAAAGGCCAACACAAATGTCACAGAGAGAGAAGACAGGGCTTAGCAATGCTATTCTATGCACAGAGTATTTGTTCACTCTCACTTCCCTTTATTCCCTCATTGGCAGGAAGAAGGTATAAGATAGAGAAGTAGGGAGAAAGCCGAGAACTCAGAGCCTCAGTCCTGCTCATCATGGGTATTATCACAGGGGCCTCTGGCACTGACAGAGGGTTTATTTATCACATTGTCTTGTAGAACAATTGAAGGCAATGCATATTTTGGTGACAAATGATTTCCTGTTTATGTTATCGAGAAACACTATTAACAATAATCCATTTTGGACACATACCAACTACCTACCCAAAATGAAAGAATACATTTAAAACTTGGTTTGTCAGCATAAGTAATATTAATGCTCAATATCATGTAAAACTGCTTATAATCCTCCTTATTTCTTTTAAAAGACAATTTTTAAGCAACTATCATGTTTCATGCATTATAAAAAAGTCACTATGGCAAGTAAAATAACCTTACCTAACAGAGCTTACAGATTCTGGAGAAAGTAGAAAGAAACACACCAAACATAAACACAATGAAGAAAAAAACTATAGAAAGGCTAGTAAAAGAATCACAGGAGGGGCTGAACTCTAAGTCAGGTTTAGGGAAGGTGAGATAGTAACATTCAAAGAACACCTGCAAGAAAGGGGGAAGGGGCCGGGGATTTAGCTCAGTGGTTCCGCTGCCTGCCTTGCAAGCACAAGGACCCGAGTTCAATCCCCAGTACAAAAAAAAAGAAAAAAAAAAGGAAAGGGACCAGATAAAAATGCCACAGACAGACTAATCGTTATGTCTATCGATTAATTATGAGTCAAGTTTTCAAAGACACTGAATTTAATACAACTATTGTGATCCTGTTTCTAGCATACTGTTGCTTTGATACAATCAATTACAACTTATACTTTGAGAAACATTTACATATACATATATGCATCTATATGCAGATATAGATAGAATATGTATGACTTCTTGGACCTTGCTTTTTGTTTGTTTCCTACATTTCTACTATTATCTCTAAAGTGGGAGATGAGTAAAATGCATGGATGTGGAGGATTTAAGAAGTCATCGGACAGCTGGGTGCTGGTGGCCCATGCTTATAATCTCAGCACATTTGAGAGGCTGGGCAAAGAGGATTGCAAGTTCAAGCCCAGCCAGGGAAATTTAGTGAGGCCCTGTCTCCAAAATCTTTTCCTTTAAAGATTTAGGGATGTAGCTCAGAGTGAAGGTCTTGGGTTTATTTCCCAGTAGTACAAAAAAAAAAAGTGTAAGAAAGAAAGCATTGGAGTCAAATAGGCAAAAGTGAAAAAAACTAAATCTGTCATATTTTTCTTCTCTTAAATGTATAACTAAAATTCCAACAAATGTGTATCTTTAGGAAGAGAATCTATGTCTATTTATTACATAAGAAAAATTAAAGATCTCTAAAGGGAAGAAAGAAAACAACTAATTTCCCCAGGCTGTATAAGGTCACAGTCTCCCCATGGTAACACGCCTGGAATGTTACGCGGTTTGCAGGACAGAAGCAAGAATGACAGTGACAAGTATTTCAGTGTCTGGATTTCATCCAACTTGCCTTCATCAAGAGACGCTTCTATAATCCATTAGTTCTGCTTATGGAGTATGTTTACTTCTGAATTCATTTTCTTTGACCTCATTTCAACCTATTTCTTTTTCTCTGAAATACTTCCCTGCTTCTTTTTAGACTTTAAATTTTCATCGATTAGTCCTTGCCTAAAACATTGATTTCACAGAATAAACACAAAATATATGTGATAATTAAACCAGAATTAAAGAGTCATCCTTTTTAAAAATTTAGTTACCTTCTATTAATTTTACGTCCCCAGGCTGATCACAGTCCCTGCAATCATATTCAATTCTGAAGAAAAAGTATGACTGGAGTGAAATTAACTTGAATTAGGGTTACTATCAATTTCAAGATCTGAATAAGATACTATGCTATCCGTGTCTACCTTAAAAACAGTTTCTACTATTAAAAATATATCTAGGAGCAATGGTAGTTATGATACGCAATTTTCTCTAGAAACCTGGCTTGGGGAATTACTTTAAAAACCTTTGATAACTTGTATCTGGATAAAATTAGGTGTATTTTCTCTCTCTTTCTACCTATGTTTTCAGCTGTAATTCCAGCACTATTTGTCCTAATGTAGTGACACAGGAATCAATATATATGCTGAAAAAAAATAAGATCGCTCTCTGTCCTGGTTAAAGTTTTTATCATTTCTTAAACCAAAGGTGTCAGATAGTGTCTATTGAAATGGAAAATTTCTCAGACACTTCCTAGCTGCCAGGAAATAAGGTCTTATGAGCTCCTAAAAAAACCAGATTGAAGACTGCAGAGGAAAAAACAATTCCATAGAATAAGCCAGTGGCAAAATAATTCTCATTAGCCCCACAGTCTTACAGTTGGGCACTCTGAATATCACACATTCTAAATCTTTGTAAAATGTAGAGATAAAAATATCAGTCCTCTGAAAGACCTGAGGACACATTCTCAGGATTCCACAACCATGTAGACACTTGCTTTGTAGCCAGGGAAAGAGCATGGAAAATAACTTCCCAGCAGGGAGTCCATTTCCTGGGTTTTGGCTTCATCACTCTCACTGAATCCCACAATACTGTTCCAAGGCTTTTTGGCAATGTATACACTTTAAACCAAAACTCAAAAGGAAATGGCTTGATAGCCTTTGGGTCTGGGACATGTTTAAAGCTATTGTTTTTCTCATTTGGCTTTGGAGCATTCTCTGGGGATTCTCTTACTGGGACCCTCTACTGCCACTCTCAGGACATTCCTCCTCCTGAGCTTTCTGTTGGTCCATTCTTCAGAGACTTTCTCTGCCGAGTTCTCATCACCCCTCAGGATGTCTTCTTGGGTCAGAGTTGAAAAGACTTCAGGCCAGATATCTTTATTCTGCAAAGAATATACATGTTTTCTTTGTCCTTCCACCTTCCTCTGCCCACCCTATACCCCGGTAGAGCTCCCAGCATACTCTACCTCTTCCCTGATGAATCTGCATGGAGCCTTAGAGTACCTGTAACATAGCTCTTCAGACTTCCACTACCCAGGAAGCAGAGAAACCCATTTGATCCACTGCTCTTGGCCAAACACTGTGGGTTGTGGTTCACCTTATAATCTCAGAATTGACCCCTTGCCTAAGAACAAATTAAAACCACTTATAAGACCACTTTGAGAATAAAAGGAGCATTATGCAAATCTAAGTCAGTTTGGTATAAACGGAAAAGAACTCTGAAAACTAGATTAGCACAAATCTCTTCAATAAGAGGTGAAAAGAGATGGGGAGGAAATAAAATGGCATTGATAATTGATAAATGCCATTACATTGCTTCTTGATTCAAAGCACGGGCTTTAGAGCCAAGATTACCAAGGGTTTAATTCGGGCACATTATATTAGTGCAATAACTTGGGCAATTGTTTCAACCTCTTGGAGTCTCTGTTGCCTCATTTGTTACATGGTGATAGTACTGGAACATATCTGAGTGAGTTTTGGTAAGGATAAAATAATTCACATAAAGCTGTTATATGTTGCCAAATGTAGCTGTCACTGCATAGCTCGATACATGCTAGTTTCCATACTCATTATTCATAACAAATTTTAAATTATTCTTTGTCATCATTCAAAATTCAACTCAAGTGTTGCCTCATTACCCATAATCATCTTTTTTGTCTCGAAGATTTTTTGTCATTAGGAGGGAAGAGATCATTTTCTGTTTTTGGATTGTTTGCTTATGCAAACACTATTAACTCTTCAAGTTTCAAGCTTGAATTTCATTTGCTTTGCCTCCAGTTCACAGAAGGAAACAACACAAATTCTGAAGAAAAATAAATTTTCTGATTCTGTTATTGCTGTTGTATTTTATTTTATGGGCCAGCTACCTGATATCTCTGAATCAGTTTCCATTTCTGAAAAATAGGAATTGTTTTTGTACCTTAGTCCTAAAATGATTGCAATCATTAAATAAACTAATATATGCAAAGTGCTTAGAATAGTGTGTGGCAGGTGATGAACAATAAATGTCAACTATTGCTTTTATTATTGTAATTATGGTCTTAATGACAGTTGTGGTTGCCAGTAACTAAGATGATGATAAAGATGAGCCAGAAAAGAGGAGAAAAACTGGAAACTAAAGAAAAAAGCAAAAGGAGAATATAACAATAGAAACAAAGTAGCCTCAATCAAGGCTACTTGATTACCCATGGAAGAGTCCAAACCCCAAGGGGGTCTTAAGGAAGTGTTCTGACCTTTTAGAACTCCTGGGAAAAATGAAACCACATAAAACAACAACAACAACAACAAAAAACTGCTGCAACTGGAATGGGTTTCATTCTTCTTCTGCTCATAAATATGGTCATTTGGGAGAATTACTCAGTGTCACCGTCTTCTATAAGCTCCTAGGCGCGATCTTTTTTGTGTGTGTTTATAGTATAGTACATTGATTCTGCGCCCCTTGGACCTACAAAATGATAACAGATGGTGCCACCTATAGAACTGAAGGCAAAACATGCAAGAAGTTGGTATATTTTCAAAACAGAGTCATACACTTGCTTAAAATTACTTTTGAAATGCATAAAGATAAGAAGACTCTTACTAGTTAGAAAAGATTGAGTAGCAGCTTAACTGTTTTATTATTTTTCAGCAGCTTGGTACCAATTAATTTTATTCTCACTCAAGAAATTTTTTAAAAATTTGATTTAAGGAATACTTTGTCAACTCCATAAATGGTGGAGGGAAATGTATTAGCACAAACCAATGCCAAATTTTTTTAATAAATAAAAGATACTGTCCTCAAGTTTAAATCTAACCAATTAAAATACCAGAAGGAATATTTCTTAAATGTATCTTTCTTACCTGTTTGGCATCAATCACAACTAATATTAGATATTTTTTGGTTGTAGACTTAAAGATGACTCAAATTAAGTCTGTCTCCTAAGAATTGAGTAAATAACGTTTGGCTTACAGGTATTCTTGATGCACAATAGCTGATATCAGGAACACAGGTCAAACATAACTTCTCCAAGTCAATGAATAGTGTTGGGCAGAATTATTTGGGTTGTGTGTCATTCAAATGGTTCTTCCCTAAGAATAGCCAGAGAGATCCAGAAAGCATAGAGAGGGTGAGAAGCAGTGATGGAGAGAGACAGAAAGAAAGAAAAAGAGAGACTGAGAGACAGTAAGAATAGAGAAACTGAGAAGCAAGGGACTCCTACTTTTGGCTGCATCCTCAATGAGGCAAAGTCTCCTCACTTCTGGGATATGAAAATATCACAGAACCATAAACCAGAGATCCCCAACCCGGGGCCACGGATGGTACCAGTCTGTGGGCTGTTAGGAGTGGCTGCACACACAGCGGGAAGTGAGCAGTGCAAGCTTGCTAAGCTTCTGTGCTTGGACCTTGCCACGACCTGCACAGCAGAGGGTCTGAGGCCAGGGAGAGCAGTGGGAGATGAAGAAAACACAAGGAGACCAAGATTACTCTTAATAGCTGGGACCAGGTGGAACCATAGCTTGTTGGGAGCTAACGGCCCCTTGGAGTACCTCGCACTCTTTATTTATAGTGTTAGGCAAACAGGAAGAGAAGGTGGGCAAATAGTGCTATGTGGCCATGTGGCCTAGGTGGAACGAGTGTGATTGTTTCTTGAAGGGAACAGGGAAGGATACAATGTAATGTAACTGTCTCCTGGGACTGTGCCATCCAGGGTCTCCATATGAGTCAAAGAGTGTCTATTTGGGGCAGGGGATTTAGCTCAGTGCTTCCACAGCCTGCCTCGCAAGCGCCAGCTCTCGAGAGTTCGATTCCCAGCATGGAAAAAAAAAAACCAACCCAGTATCTGTTTGATTCTCTAATCTGTGGAGGAAAAAGGGAATAGGGAGGAGAAGAAAGGGAGCAGAGAGGAGAAAGGGCGCAGGGAAGAGACAAGGCCATCTTCATCTTCACTCCCAGCTCCTACACCGCCTGAGCTCCCTCCCCGTCAGACCATCTGGCATTACGTTCTCAAAGAAGCAAGAACCCTACTGTGAACTGCTGCGCCTGTGCTCTATTGCTATTTATTGCTTAGGAAAAATTAAGTGATGAAGCATTAGAAATATAAATTAATTATCTCAAATTTAGGAGTATACACACACTGTACATAAATGTAAACACATATAAATTAAAATATAATTATATACAATTAGATGAAATATGACTATTATAGATGTACACACATATATAAATACACAGACATATATACATATAGGAATATATACATATATACATGTACATAGACACACACACATATATATATACACACACATAGTATTTTTTCTCTCTGAGAAGTAGAAAATATTGCTATGAGAATGTTGGGCTTCAAACTCATGCAGGGTAATCATCTGTTTGCAAAGACTTTGGTTCCTAAACAAATACTGTAATGTTGACATTAAGTGCCTCTGGCTCACCCTTACACCTAGTTTTCTTTCCCAAAAGCTCTCTGTCTCCTAAAAGCTTGAAATAAGAGAGTATTTAACCCTAAGAATTACTGTGTATGGGGACATAGTATTTACCCTCCTCCTTAGCCATTTTAAATCTATGAAAGCAGCTCTGCCAGGTCACATTTTTTATAATAGTAATGAATACCTGTATCCAGGATATTTACTATTGATAATTTATCAACATGTCATCTGTCAAACTTGTTGGCCCCAATACTGGGACAAGACAATATATCAGTTAATAAACATAGTGTTTTTCTCGCCAACTTTATGGAATTTCTAGGTGCCAAGAAGCAAAAATAATTAATTAATTCATTCATTCAATTAATAAATATTCACTGAATGCCTTTTATGTATCAGAGCACAGTACTCTGTTTAGCAAAAGAAATAAAAAGAGAATCAGAAATGAATACAATTGGAAAAATTCCAGGTTAGAGGTTTTGGTAAGAGATTGACTATTGCCAGTAAAGTAGAAGACCCTCTATCAAAAACAAGACAAAAAGTGTTCATATATAATTCAACATACATTCTTTGTTATCTACTCTTTGCCTATTAATCATCATGATGATCTGATAAGAAATGCTTTTAAAATCCTCATTTTTGCTAAGCAAAAAACTTTTGCTAAGTTTCATATTCCATTCTTGTGGTTACTAGGAAGAAATATGGGCTGGGATTTTAAGTTGAATCATTCTTTTAGAGTGAATTAGTCAACAAATGTTTGTTTTCCTCATTCTGTGCACTTCCTGTTGTGAAATTATCTGGATGAAAAAGGCCTAAGTCTTGGCTGTCACTGAGCTAGTAATCTATCATAGAAGGAAGAGAGCTACAAACAATACAAAACAGTAAGGATTAAGTGGCATAAAGGATGTGCTAGTAAATCGCTGTGGGGCCACTGTGTTCTCTCTTGCCTAGAGGGCCCACCCTCACGCTGTGGGATGTACTTTTTCCTGCTTTTACTTGAGCCAAACTCTCTGCAGAGCCTGTTTCTTTTCCTACCTCTAATAAAACTTTGCCACTATTAAAACAAAACAAAACAATGGCTGTGGAAGTTCAGAGGGTAGATAATTCGGTTCGGATGGTCAAGGAAAGCTAGGCTTTTAGTATTTAGGTTAGCTATTACAAGAGAGGGAGAATTTCAACAGTTAGACATGGTATTCCAGCCAAAGAGATTACAAGCAGAAATCCTATGGAAACAGGCAACAGTTTAATTTGCATAAAGGTCAGCCATATAGTTGTCATAATGAATAATGAACATTAGAAATTTGAACTTGATACTCTAAGCCAGTGATGGTGAACCTTTTAGAGACTAAGTGCCAAACTACAACCCCAAACCCACTTATTTATTGAAAAAGTGCCAATACTGCAATTAAACCTGAATACTCAGGTTTTAGCATAGAAAAAGCAACTTACACATTAACTTCTTTTGTCTTAAAAGAAAAATACAATAACACTCATGCCATTGGTTTACCATCACTGCTCTAAATCTTGGAAATTAATAAGGATTTTTTGATTAGGAGAAGGAAAATAGTACTCATTATTATATTGGTTTTATTAGCTTTAGGTTGAAAGAATTTCTATAGGGGTCAGCACTTTTGTTATATCTTGAATGAAATGTAACAGCCATGCTGACAAAAGGGGAAACTGAGGTAGGGGGACCTGATAATCCATTGTCAAGTCAAAAGGGCAGTTTATAGTTTGAACAGAGATTACTGTCCCTGACTTTCCCAGAGATCTTTGAGCTGCTATATGCAATCCTTAGTAATCCATTAGGAGACTAAACAGGGAAAAGTAGTTTTTCTAGTTTACCGACAAGAATGTTAGGAAGCAGGCAGGTCAACCAAGCATGGATGCACCTGTCTGTAGTCCTGGCTACTTGATAGGCTGAGTCGGGAAGACTGATTGAGCCCAAGGAGCTTGAGGCTACCCTGGACAATATAGTGATACCCTGCCTCTTAAAAAAAAAGAGAAGAAGAAAGAGGGAGGGAGAGAATCACGCAGGCCAAGCCACTTGCTCTGCCTCACAGAGGTAAATAGGGCTGGTGGGAACAAAACCTGCCACGTGAATCTTCAGCACACCTTATGTTCACTTTCTCCCCAGCCCCTTACTCTTGTAGCCAGCTCCTTACCCACACTCCCTTGGTACCCTTCTCTTGTTACAACCACTGTGAAAAACTGAAGAAAGGTCAAAATTGGGGAAGAGGGACACAGGCAACCCAAAGCTGTTTCGTGTCTCTGCCCCTTTTCTGACCCTCATATAAAACAATGTGAACTTACAGTTGTTCTGCAGGAGCTTGTCCAGGGAATCCCGCCACTGCAGGATCTCATCCAGAGAGGGTCTAAAGCAAGAATAAGGACAGAAAAAGATGATGACAGAGGTGAGGAGTTTACCAAATACAAAATAATGACTTGACCTGTTCTGAGAAATGACACAACTGATCACTTAGGACAAGGATGCTTGACTTATTTTTTTAACAGTTGGGTCTGGTTAGCTGGTTTGCTTTCCTATACCTACATAGTACTGTATATCTTCCTTGCTTCTTGAGCAATTTTGCTAGGTCTGTTCCTTTTTAGAAATAGACTCTATTTGCCATGAAGTTATGTCTTGAGATTTCTGTATATTCTACGACAATGGCTCCAACTGTGGTCTTTATTCTAAATATAACAGTGAAATCCAATTGACTCGCTATAGGGAGGCACATTAACTACTTGATTTAATTAGTGAAGAGGATTTGGTTCCACATCTTTATTCCAAGGCTGGCTCATTAGGGCTGGTGGCAGATGGTATATGTTAACTTTGCCTCATGTTGGGAATGTGATCATAGCAAATATATATATATATATATTTTTTTTTCCTTGATCAATGAGGACAGGGTAATACTTTGGAAAGATTCAGAAGGAAACTGGTTAATATATCCTGAATCAGAATGCTGTACACAAATGTTTGAGACACTGACTCAAAAGAAGATAACAGCCTACAATTTCCTGTTAGGCTGCTTTTATTTTAACATTTGTAAATGCAGGAATCCACAGCCTTTTCCATTTCAACCACCCATTCTTCTCTCAGATGCAGCCGTTCCAATGTAGCTAGCGCTATCTGAGAAAATGGCCAACTTCACCCTCCCTGAACCCTTCCTGTGTTGTGGCCTGAGCTCTTCATTGACAAAGCATTTATTAGACTATGAAGTCCAATGGAAGTGTTTTTCCCAAGTTGGAATTTTCGTAACTCTTATATCTTTTAGCAACCATCCAGGTAATACAGGAAAATTCTTGCTTCTAGTTTTTATGAAATATCTTGGGGTTTTAACTATTCAACTTAGCAACTGAAGTTAAGACAATTGCTCATCCTTCTCTTCATTTTGCTGGCTCATTTTATCTATGTAAGGAGTCCATGACAGCAGTAGGTGTTTTGGCCAAAGAACTGACAGTTCTCTAACTCTTCTGTTCTTCATTGCAGAATATGTGCAGATTGTATGTCCTGATTAAATAATTTTTCCTAAAACTTTGTGTTTACCCTTTGAAAGTTAAACTCAGAAAAACCAACAGTAACAAACGTGGTGAAATAATCTTTTGTGATTTCTGCTTTTCTGGCCAGAAATATGAATATTATTATGGATTTACTTGTAACAAGTAACTACTTACCCTCTCCAACTTTTCCTCTAGCTGGTAGAAAGAGATGTCATGAGGAAAATTGCATGACTATGGGGTTACAAGTGTGTTTCCTGTATTTTTCTGGTTCATTTTCTTGCTAACCAAAAAAAGGGACATATTTTCTACAGGTCAGTAACTCCTTTTGGTTCTTCTGTATTGCTTTATCCTGAGAACTTTTCCGAGCTATTATTTCATACCTACAGATTTGCCACAGGCTTTGCCCATATTAATTTCTTCACTAAAGTGGGTTCAATATTTTGTACATAATAGACAACCACTAAGTCCAATAGTTCACAGGAGGGGCAGGATATTAAATTACTGAACAAAAGAAACTAGCTCAGAGCAAAGGGCTAGTTTCACCCACTGAATCGTCTCATTTTATAAATATTATCATAGACTGAAATCACACTCCTGTCCTCTCCTTCCCTCTGGTTGGTTAAAAAGAGCCTAGGAAGAAGCAACGACATGAGCAGGTGCACCAAACTTAAGCATGTTACTATATCCAATTTGTCCCAAATGGTCCTATTAGGACCAAAGTAATGGTCAGTATTAGCAGCACATCACAGCTGAAATTAAATTCCTGAAAAGGATATGTGCCAAGCCTGCTTGGGGGTGATATTAGTCCAGATTGATTTAAGGACACAGTCAAGCAGGACATGTCTCCCATGGTGTGCAGCCCAGTGTTCTGATTACCAGCCTAGGAGGTAGCAGAGGTTCATCCTGTCCTGTTTCTCAGAATTTGCCAGCCCTCATTAAATCAGACTTCTTTAGAAACAAGACAGATGCAGGTCTAAATGACCAATAAGCATCCTGGCTTGCAGGTCACAGCTGATCACAGAGGGTCGGCTAGGAAGCTCGTTTAAATGAAAGGCAAAATAAGCACTTAAGAAATGATTAACTTTGGGGGTTTTTTGATGCTCAATGAAAATGCCACCCAGTTCAGGAAGTGACCATTTTGGCTTGAAGTGCTGTCTCTCTTTTTTCACTCTTATCTCATTTTACTTGTTGAATCTTTTGCATGGCTTTGGTACACCTACTGCCTATAGAAATAGCTTTTCATTCATGGAGAACTTTCCCCACTCTACCATATTGTATTGTATATCCCCCACAATATCAGTCTATAATAAATGAGTCTTCTTGCAAAGATCAAATGTGTATGTACAACTTTTGGCCTACATCAAAATATGGTGGATTTTCTTTACCTCCCCCCACCCCCACCTCATCTGTCTCCCATCCATGGTGCTCTAGTCGCTGTTGGCCATGGGATAAGGGCTCAATAAATGTTTATGGACTTAAGAATGGTCATGAGCAGGATGCAGTGCAGGACACCCTACAATAAATGTGTCAAAATGATAAGGAAATGAATGATGGCTCATTTTTCCCAGAGTTATTCTGGCTGTTGAGAGCTACAAATGACCCAAAACTTACATTTCAATGACTAGTTCAATGAACCATTACTACACTTGCTGGCAACTCTGATATGTGTTGACTATAATCATGAAAAATGTTTTAACTTCCCTAAGAACCAGTGGTTGGGTTTTATTTGTTTTGATTTTGAACCTACATAGTGCCTGGCATGTATTTAAATTTCCCTGATAATCAATGCTGCCACATGTTCTTGTTGACAGGGGTAAATGAACCTCAAATTGTTAGTGGTGTTTGTAAATGCCTGCTCTGCTCTCCCTTCTTGCTGTACAGTGCTTTCTGCTCAAGTCTCAAGTTCATGAATGTTTATTGAGCCCTTATCCCATGGCCAACAGTGACATGGCACTATTAATGGGTTACATTTTTTCAAGGCTACTTTTCAATGTCCATATGTAGACCAAAAATTGCATGTACATCTTTGTTTTTCACATCAAGGCTCACTTTGCAATTAACTGGGTGAGAGCATCCATATGACAATATGCCACAACTTTTCTTCACTAGCAGGCTAGTGTGGAGGCCATCCTAGAGTAAGTTCTAAAGTAGTAACAACCACCACCATCACAATAACAAAAGATAAAAAATTGATAGCATGGGGAAAAGAGGACATTTACAGTATAAAGAAATACTATAAGAATATCTATTTCTGCTCTTGACATTTTGCAATGGATTATATTGTAAGCCATGGTAACAGTTATCATATACTAAATTTATGTAGTTTATTAATTTTGTTTATTGCTTTTTAGGAGGACCTACATCAGACCTTAGGGAATGCTCAGATGCAGACAGTGAGCAAAAGTGGAAGAACTCAGAGTAAAAGAAGGTGGGGGAGAACACAGGATCACAGAATCAGAAGTTAAGGAAGAATGGATAAGGAGTTAGGTAGTAGTCAATGCTGCAAGGAGTCAAAGATGATTCCTTAGAGAGAACTTCAGTGAGGAGGTAAGGTTTAAATCTGATAAGGAGATAAGGAAAATACTGGAAACTGAGTATAGACTTCTATTTTTAGAGTGAATTAAAACAAGAGAAAGATAAAAGAATTGAAACAATGGGGCCAGGGATTTAGCTCAGTGGTGCCGGCACCAAGTGCAAGGACCTGAGTTCGATCCCTGGTACCAAAAAAAAAGAATTGAAACAGTGAAGGCTTGGGAAAGTATTTTCAGAGTGGATATAGGCACTTATTACCTCCTAATGGAAATTGTTGAAAGAGAAAAAAAGCAATTACGAATACTAAAATGATAACAGAAGCTGGGTTTGGGTGGTAAGGATATAGTCAGCTTTTTTCTAATTTTTTTTAATGGTCCAAATTTTTAATCAAATGAGAATTTAAAAATGCATTAAAAAAATAGAAAATGCTTCCTAAAAAACGAATTCTACTGATTTCAGTAGCTGTAAAAAAAGTGGGGGGGAATACTTTCAGTCAAGAGAAGGCTTATTTTCTCTTCTGTGAGAAGAGAAAATGCAGAGAAGTTTTAAAGTAGAGAGGAGATTAACAGCACATGAAGAACATCAGCTTTCCTTATCAGGTGAAAGGCACTGAAATTTGCCCAAGAGACATGGAATGTAGCTTATGGGTTTGGAAGGACAGGGGGAAGCTCTTTTAGTGGTCATTGTTAAAAAGGCAATAGATACATTCAAGTATTCCTTAGAGATATGAAAGAATTTTTTTTTTTTTCCAAAGACAGTTCGAACTTCTGGTAAAAGAAAGCAAATGGAAGACAAAAGAAGCAAGTAATCCAATAAATGTCAGCCCCAGGTTTCTTCCAAAATAGTTTCTGTTTGAATCCCTTAACCCAAATAGTTCAAGTGCCTATCTGGGATGTTACGGTAGAGAATTAAGGCAGGAAATGTGCCACTACGTTTTTTAGTTATTACCAACAAATCAATAATTATCACGTTGTTTACTTCAAAATAGACCTTTTGATCTGTTGCTGGTATGAAATGTGGTTCTTATTCTTCACTAGTGCTTGCAGCCTGCTGCTTCACATACAATTAGCTTCCCCCTTTTAAAGGGAGAAAACTCAATTCGAACTCACTTCCGGTTTGAGATCACTTTGAAGTAATAAAAGGAAGAGAATGGAAATAGCCACTTAGGTTGATGAAACATGATTTTAAAAAAGAATAATTCATTTCTATATCCCCTAGCCAATCCAACCACATTAAATTGAAGGTCACTGGGACAAAGGACTGGTTGGCCAATTTATACAAATGTTAAATTTAAAAAGAGAAATCCAAGTTAAAAGCCACTGCTATATTTTCACCACAGTTCCATGATTTTGAAGCTTTTAGACAGCGGACTGAAGGAGTTTGAATACATTTGGTTTTTCTTCCACCCTCTTTTGTTTCTTGATTTTTTCATAGTTATTTCTGTTTTGGGGGTTTTTTTTGTTGTTGTTGTTTTTGGTACCCGGGATCAAACTCAGGACCTTGCGCTTGCGAGGCAGGCGGCAGAACCACTGAGCTAAACCCCCAGCCCCTAGTTATCTCTGTTTTAAAGGGAAGATGGGAGTGTATTTCTTCAAGCAGTGATGGCAGTATGTGGGGCAGAGGTGGGGTACTGAGGAGAGGATGAGTGATCCCTATCAGGAATATTAATTTATGGATTGGAAAAAATGTCCAATGTGCATTAAAGAGAAATAGCTAGTCAAGTATTCATTCCTCCCTTAGGTAAAAATCTTTTCTTCCTGGGTTGGACCTTGAAGGGACACTATATTGGAGAAGAAACTATTTATCTTAAATTGCTTCTTTTCCTTAGCATCTTCCTGAGAGGCAGCTCTGACTTGCATCCCCATCCTGAGGAGGTGGCCTTGGAGAAAACCTTAGCAGATAAGCATGCAAGGTGCAAGGCTCACAATTAACTGGATGCGGGATGGTTTCCTGACCCACGGCAGTAAATGATCATTTATTTTTACCATACCTCTGTGGATAAAAATTGAGAAGATGGCTGATGCCACTTTATAAAGTATGGGCTGTCTTTCCACAGGTAAGGCAGGGGTCTATTTTTAATTTTTTAAATTTATTTTTAGTTTTAGTATTTTGGCAGTATCCAATATTATGCACCAGACATGGAGCACTAAAAAAAAAAAATGCTGTTTTGTAAAGCAACTCTCTGAGGCCTTCTATGATCCTGTGAGTAATGGAAGGGGGTAGTTCTACAGATGAGGGATGGTGCTATACACTTGAAAATAGCCATCATCTAGAGGAAAATGAGTGGAGTCCATATTTATGACTCACTTCTGAGTCTTGGCTGGTTTCTCCGGCTTCTCATTACATGGAATGACAAGGTCAAGAGCTGAGTCTGGCTTCTGGAGAAGAATTCCCAACTTGATCTTAATCTCCTTGGCCCTGAAAGAAAAGATATAAAGGGGAAGTAAAAACATCACCTGAACATACAGATCTAAAAAAGAGATTTCTTTCTGCATCAGAGAAATAAAAATGAACAAAACCCAGTTTCACTTCTTTCCTTCTGCAGAAAAAATATCAATGCAGAAATTGAACAAATGAGTTCTATGGGTGTTTACCAAGTTCTTGTTATGATCCCAGTTAATTTGCATGAGTTCATTTAAATCTTAATTGTATTTTTTTTGCATTCCCTCATTTTTTTATGGCAGATACTATAGTATTATTTTCATTCTGCTGATGAGGAAACTGAGTGACAGTTTAAATAACTTACTTAAGTCAACCCAGCCAATACATAGCAGAGCCTAAGCTATGTGTCTCTAGAATTCACAGATACACTCCCTGCACTGTCTACCAGCCAGTAATTGGATTATGACATTTGGGAAAATTAATTTTTTACTGCCAGATCTCAGTTTGTTTTTTTTGTATAGTGATGGCCTAGATGTTTTCATGCACCATTTCCAGCTATTAAATTAAATTATTCTGCTTGATGATTTATTTGCCTGCAAAGGTTTCCAACTTTATGCCCATTGTGTCACAATGGCTATCAGAGTATCTTACACACAGATGAGATGAGTATTATTGCCAGTGGACTGACTATAGTAACATTTACTGGTCCTTCAGCTTCTTAGTTAGTATATATGGTCAGAATTCTGGGTATTCCTCCATCAAAAGATGCACCTATTTTTGGGCTCAGTTTTAAAATTAATCTTCTAAGCTACCCATAGTTTTATCACAATTCTGAAATTAAAGCAGCATGCAAATTTTAAGTATTAATCCAATATACAACAAGCCGTTGGATACTAGGAGACCCCACAACTGTCCTTTTTTGTCATCGTGGCGCTTTACACATGTGTTTAAAATATGGTTTATCGGGTTGTGTTATGGTTATTGATTTACGTGTCTGTTTTCCAACCTGGATAAGAGAACTCTTTGATGGCAGGAGTTGAATCTTGCCTGGCACAATGCTTGACAACATAGTAAACACAATAATATTTGCTAGTGTAAACTAAAAATGTCTTGATTTAATTCCTCATAAATTTGCTAACATTTGTCTCCCAGTCAATACTAATCATAACTAAAGCCTGCAGAGGTGTGATGGGGTTCCCGGTGTAGCAAGATAGTATTTTGCTACACAACATTTTCCCCACTGTCCGCAGAGACTGTGGTGAGACAATTTAAGTAAAAGAATGCCCAAGATTAACAATTATGGAAATTCAAGACAGTTAAAGAAATTTACTCTAGTAACTTCCACAGAACCCATTAAGTATCTATTATATCATATTTTCTTCTTATAGTAAATATGATTTTAAAGTTATGATTTAGAATTAACCATCTCTCTAGTATCTTCTCTTTGGCATTTCTTTCTGCTTCTGCTTTTTCTCTAGGACCTTGTCACTGTCTGAAACCAGCTTAAGTGCCCGACTACATCAGGTCCAGCTAAGCCAACCATAGCACTATGATACAAACTGGGAATGTTCTGCTGAGGGAACTTGTATAATCGTGAGAAAGAATAATAAATCTTGCTTTGAATCCAGCCTCCATGACTTACTAAAATTATCTAATTTTTTTTGGCCTTGAAATTGGGACTGGTAACATAGTACATCCTCAGAGGTTTTTGATGATTAAATATGCTAATGCATGTAAGTCACATAGCACAACATTAGGCATTATAGTTCTGCTTCTGCAAAGTTAGTTCTAACTGCAAAATCACATTTTCCAACCAAATTTTACTCATGTTTCCTAACTTTAAGCACCAATGTGAAACATCCAAAAATTTCTCATAAGTTGCTACAAAATCATTAGACCTATCACTACCCATATTCTACTGCTGAAGACAAGAATTGCCAATTTTATAGTTATCCAAAATATGAAGAACATGATTAGGGGTACGGCAGGAGATGCATGCAGTATTTCTGGCTCCCCTCTGCTGGCTAATGTGTAGTACTACAACCAGAGATACAAGGTCCATCTACTCCATCTGGATGCGGGATCCCTTCCAGGTGGTGGGGAGGTTTATCTTTAATCCCTTCCGTCCTGGCTCCACATGCTCTTCTCTCCCATACATAAAAGGAATGTTTATGGAAAATGTTTTAGTTTTAACCTTGACCCAAGAAGCCACTCACCAATATTTACACACAGATTATCTAAAGAACCACTCTCGTATGTTTAGGATTTTATTTAGTTGGTTCTTTAGTTTCTCTCTCTCTCTCTCTTTCAACTCAAGTTTCCTTTTTTTTTCTCTCTTTTGCTTAATCTGAGCCATTTGATTTTGTAAAAGGCAGGAAAATATTTCACAATCCCCTGTATGAGAGTAACAGGTGCGAACAGCATTTCTTACAGAACTAGAGAAAACAATCCTAAAATTCATTTGAAACCAGAAGATACACAGAATAGCAAAGACAATCCTAGGTAACACGAGAAAAGCAGGAGGCATCACTATCCTGGAATTCAAGTTATATACAAAGCTACAATGATTTAAAACAAAACAAAACCTTAGCATGGTACTGGCACAAAAACATGCAGGAAAAAACCCAGGCACATTCAGCTATCTGATCTTTGACAAAGGGGCCAAAACATATACTAGAGGAAATATAGCTTCTTTAATAAAAGGTGCAGGGGAAACTAGCTATCTACATGCAGAAGACTGAATCTATGCCCATATATCTCACCATGTTCTAAACTAAAATCTAATTGATCAAAAATCTAAATGTTAAAACAGAAACATTTAATCTTTGGAAGACAAAATAGGTAAGACTCTTGAAGACACAGGTTCAGGCAAGGACTTTCTGAACAGAGCCCCAAGTACACAAAAATAACAAAAATCACCAAGTGTGATCATATCAAATTAAAAAGCTTCTGCATAGCAAAGGAAACAGCCACAGAGTGAAGAGATAACCTAAGAATAGGAAAAAATTTTTGTCAGCTATTGCTGTGATAAAAGACTAATACAGTGGACCTTGACTTACACACTCAATTCGTTCCTGAGGGCTGGTTGTAACTCAAGCTGGTCAATTGCTTTCAAAGTCCCTCTCCTGCATAATTTTAGGCCACACTTTCTTCCAGGCAGATCTCAGTGTCCTTAGAGAGACACTGGCCCAGAATTTCTCAATTAACCCCACACAGGAAAGGATGTTGTCATGTTCCAGAACTCTTTAAGGGTTAAATCTGTATCTGAGACTACCTGGAACCACAAATGGCTGACATAACTCAAGACTTTGGAGTTATGAAGTTATCAAAGCTCAAGACTTTTAGTTAAAACTAAAATTCTGGGTGTAACCCAAGTTGTTCCTATGTCAGGCTGGTCGTAACTCAAGCATCTGGTGACTGTAATAACAAACGTTGGCAATGCCGAGGGAGAAAAAAGAACATTTCTATATTGTTGGTGGGAATGTCAGCTAGTACAACCATTATGGAAGTGTGGAGGGTCCTCAGAAACAAAGTAGAAATTCCATTTCACTCAGCTATTCTCCTTCTTGGTATCCTCCCGAAAGAGTTAAAGACATCATAATATAGTGATACACACATGACTATATTTATAGCAGCACAATTCATAATAGCAAAATCTTGGAAGGGGCCTATATGTTCATCAACAGATGAATAGATAAGACAATGTGGCATACAGATAAAATGGAGTACTACTCTGTCATAAAGAAGGATAAACTTGAGTCATATGTAGGAAAATTGATGTACCTGGAGACTATACTGTTAAGTGAAATAAATTACACATAAGCTTCACTATTGCATGGTTGCTCTTATATGAGAAACCAAAAATATAAATGAAGAGCAAAATAAAAGATAGATAATAGGATATAGGGAGACAGATCCTTTAAAATGGGAAGGAGACCAAGAGATAGAGGGAGAGGAGGGAAGGAAGTAGAAGGGAAAGAAAAAAAGAAGTGAGATGTGTCATGTACATGTATCAACTCCCTGTGAGAAATGTAACTGTTATGTACTGCAAACATGTGCTAATAAAAATTTTTAAAGTAATAGGTAAATTAAGGGTAATTAGAACAAACATGTTAGGTGTTTTAAAAAATAGTCTTTCCTTCTTTACTTACTGATTTACTTATTGATCACGCTTACTATGTCAGGCAGGATACAGTAGGCACACCGACACTCTGAGGGTTTGGTCTTGCTTTCCAGGTGCCTCTAGCCTATTGTGGTCTTAGGCTTGGAAACACACCCATGTAGCTGCCTAAGGAAAGGGTGCTTGCTCAGAAAGCAGATGGAACTGGCGGAGGAGCACCAATATCCACTGTGTGAGTGAGGGAGATTTAGAGGAAACAAAGGTAGAGCTGGAGAATTAAGCAGTGCTCATGCAGGTGAACGAGAAGGGGTCAGACCTTCCACGCAGAGAGAAGGGCATGTGCACATCATTTTAGGAGAGGCAAAAGCACCTGCTGTGTGATGATGAGATGTGACAGGGAGAGGGCAGAGCCAGCTTATCTGGCCTCCTCTTTCTGATGAAGAGTCATGTGGGGCTGGGGCCTCTGTGGAGCACCTAGCCTGCAGCACATTTGGTGCGGGTGCAAGAAAAAGGCAAAACTAGTAAAAGGCATCTTCAAAGACTGTCTGTTATATAAAGAGGAGGCATCCTGTCTCATGAATGCTATTTCTGAGAGCTATTTCTGAACGCATTTCCCCATAAAACCAGTCTATAAGTGGTGGTTAAATTCTCAAGACACTCTACAAAAACCTCTTAAAACCAAGATGAATCAAAACCAAAGGACTCTTTCATCTGTATCATTTTTAAACAAGCTTACAGGGGGATGATCTAGAAATCAACTACTGTATCACCTACAGAAAATTATATTTTATTTTATATATATTATATTTTATTTTCTCAGCGCAAACACACATACCTGAAAACCAGGCCACTCTCTTCCCCATATTTGCCCTGGAAATGCAAGAGGAAACACAAAAGCAGTGCTTTGGAAAGCCCTTCTCTCTATGGCTTCAACTCTGCTATTTCAAGAACAGGAGGTCAAAAAGTTAAGAATACATAAACTGGGAAGTCCAATCAATTTAATTGGAAACTTGAGGCGATAAAAAAAACACAACAGACTTAGTGCATTTGTTTTCCACGCAGAATTCCTGGGATACTATTTCATCCCCCTTGCTCCTTTCTTCCTATAAGAGTCCCCCACACATAAATCAAATGGAAAACCAAACTAAAGCTCAAACTTGCCAAATTATTTTCCTCTTTGAAGATAAACTCAATGCATCTGACATTAATTTAATGTCAGAAAAAACTCTATCTGGAAAACAAAACCTTCTAATTTGTTTATGATTTTAGACTCAGTCTCTGGCTCCATGTAACTGCTCACTAGGGATTTTTCCTGACTACATGGCATTAACACTTGTTAACAAGAAACAATTTTTATATCCTCTCATCTCCCTTGCCCATACTTTTGGTATCCTTTTGTTTTACAAAGAAAAACTTGTTTTGAAATGAAATCAGTTGGAAGTGGCTGGGTGAGAGTTTAAATAATGCCTCAGATGAACATAATTCTTTCTGGATATGACTCATTACTGATTTCAAGCTGGAAAGGGTCAGAATAATTCTAGGGCTGTTCCAGGCATGCTAACAGGGTGGCTAGGAAACCAATTTCCAGAGGCCATGGACTACCTTGGTCCTTCCTGCTAATGGACAAATAAAGTTATTACCTTAAAATGCATATGCTCGGAAGAGCACAAGCAATCAGAAAAACAGAAACATAGTTAACTGTGTAGAAATACAATTACTGTATATGCAAGCATAATTTATTGGAAAACAATTATATAAAAAGTCCTATAACAGATTGTTCAAGGGTTACAAAGATGTTTCTTGCCTTGTAGACCTGTAGAACAACTAAAGGGTCCATTTACACTACAGGTAAACTATATAGTAGATATTTTTCCAATCACTGAAGCAACGAGGTAGGATATAATAATTTAAAAAACATAACTCTAACTACAAGGAGCTCAAATGTACACTAATGTGATAACAGGAAGATAGAGCAATGGGACTCTAATAACTGCACTTACCATATCTCAGAAACCTCTGTACTTTTCTTTCATGGCTCTTATCAATTTGCATTATATCTCTTGATATATATTTGAATACTATCTATCTCTTCTATAGGTGTGTCAAGTCCCCAGGAACAAGGTTAGCATATTTTGTCTACAATTATAGCCTTGAGATTTAGTTAAGGGGCTTGCACTTAATAGGTAGTGAATAAAAACTTCCTGTATAAACTGATGAGTCAGTAAATGAATTGAATTGCTAGGTTAGAGTAGAATGGCATTTTGGAGTAAGGTAATCAAAATGTTGGAGTGTGACATAAAATGAGTAATTGAGGACTAAGATGTCTCTCATTTTGTTAATGGCAGAGAGGTAAACTATTAAATGACTGACTGCAAGGACCATAAAATAACTGAATTCAATTTTTTCTTTTTTTTACTGAATTCAATTTCTGTCCTTTACAGAGATTGAAAATAGACAAGCAGAAGGGCCAAAAGTATAGTTCAGCAGCAGAGTACTGTCTAGCATGTATGAAACCCTGAGTATGATGGCTACCACCTCAAAAATAAAAATGAAAGAAAAAGAAAAAAATAGAAACGTGGGGCTCAAACTGAGCATGCATTCAGTTCTTTACACCATATAGCGCATATTCTGATAATAAGAAGCACAGAGAGTAATTGCAATCATTAGAAATCTGAAAAGAACTCCATATAAGACATACCTTCCCAGGATTTAATGGAAAAGCAGCTGAAGTAGCCCTGAGGCATCCATAGTCCTGTGGTTGTAAGAGTTTTGGCAATCACAAGCAGATTTAATTCTAGACTTCACATATATGTTAGTGATAGTCAGGAGGAAAGAAGTGGATGAGAGTTAAGATGTGTAGATCAGGGTTTTTCCTTTCCAAAAGATGTGTCCCAACATGGGACAATCCAATTTAAATTCAGTCTAACTGAAATCTGTGTAGCGGACGCCCCCTGCTGGCCGTGGGAAGGCATGAGCTAAGGCTAGTAACCGGATCGCAGATCTATTCCAGACTCCTGAAGAAATAGTACAGAGCTTGCTTCCATGTAGGTAAGAAGAATATGTCTTGTCTTGCTTCCCATAAATGAAGTTAATACCCAGGGAAAATAAATACGAGCTTCTATAGAATTTTTAGCAACCAGCCACCTCCAGAGCTGGAGAATATGGTGTCACCAGCATCTGAGACACAGAGGTTGCAGCAGAGATCTGAGTCACATAGACAGAACCCACCCAGAGGCTGACAGACAGGAGAGAATGCAGGCCACTGTATTGGACACCTCAAGAAGGACTCATTTGGTTGAAGACTGGAAGAGCCTTCTTGTTGGCCGTTCCCTTAGAACTTGAAATTAGTGGACTTTGTTACACATAAGTGGCTCTGGAGAGACAAAGGGAGAAAGAGATCTTGAAAAAAACAAAAACAAAAACAGTAATAGAAGGACACAGCAGTGGAAAATCAGGTCAGTTCTGGAACTGAAATTCTCAGCTCCCTAAGAGCCCCTTAAAATCCAGATCAATTCTAAAGGACAGGAGAAGATACTGCTGAGTCATTTTGGTGGAGAAAGAAATCTATTGGCTTGGTATTTTTCCTTTTCTGACTTAACCCACTTAGTGCTTGTGCTTTATCACAGTATAAAAGCTCAGTGCGGTGTTTAATTTCTTACCTGATTTATAGAAGCAATATATGGTAATCCTGACAAATGACTCTATAATTAGTATGAACTATTCTTCAGTGGTTCAAAATGATAGAAACGTTAAGAAAAACACTAAAGAATATATGGTATCATCATTATTAATATATTGTGATATAACTTTAGCAATGACAGCCCTCTTTCTAAAAACAAGGAGGGTTCCCTAGTAGTGTTTTAGGCTCTTGCTCATGTGAGTGATTAAATCATAAGGCACTTCAAACTGATGGCAGAGAAAGAGGGCTAAAACATGGATTCACAATGTCAGTTGTATCAGATGTGTCCCCAGAAAGCACATTCATCTATTGTAGCATTCTACCACTTGCCACGTTCTAACATTTCCTTTCAATAAGTTTGTTTCATTGTGTTGTGTTTCTGTGGTACTGGGATTGAAACCAGAGTTTTTGCATCCCCCTCCTTTTTAAATTTTTTCTTTTGAGACAAGGCCTCTTGGATTCTCTAAATTGCCCAGGCTGAGTTAGAACTCCCCATCTGTCTTCTTCCATCTTCTGGAGTACTGGGATTACAGATGAGAGGTGGAAAGTTCTTTTAATAACAACTATTGCTATTTTAATGTTCAAGCTCTTATGTCAACTGCCCCAAATTAACTTCTTGTCACTCACAGCCCTCGAAGGCAACCTGCAATAAAAGAACTAGGGAGCCTCCCAGGGAGACTTGTACTTGTTTAAATAGGATCACAGTGGAGATAGAAAAAACTGGCCTCATTTGACCTGTTCTTCTGCTTATGTATTTATTCAACAAATTAACAATATGTTTACCAAGTACCTGACACAAACTGTGTGTAGTTACATGTTTTGAAATTCCCTGTGAAATAAAAAGACCAGGTCATCTCATGGAGTTTACATTTTAGTTGAGTGAGATGGATACAAAACAAGGAATAAAAATAAGAAAAAATATAGCTGGTTATAATTGCAACGGTAGACATATATAAGGGGTGATTGAAAAATACAGTATTTCAATTTTTAAAATTATTAATAATTTTTTAAAAATTATTACAGTAAAAGACACATTGCCAAGAACAATGGGATAAGTGTCTTCAAAATAAGGGGGAGTATTTTAGGTGGGATTAATGGCAATGTGTCATTTTTTTTTATTTTTTGGTACTGGGGATTGAACTCTGGTCCTTGCGCTTGTGAGGCAGGCAGAGGAACCACTGAGCTAAATCCCTGGCCCTAATGTGTCATTTTAAAATTTTTAATTTAAACATTCATCATGTTTTGATCACCCTTTGTTGATCAAACATTTACAGTATAGCAATTTCTGCCAAGTAAAAACATTACAATGATTCCTCTTCCACCTATTTCCCAGATCTGACACCATGGGACTTCTGGTTCTTCCCCAAAGTCAAAATGACCATGAAAAATAAACATTTGGAATCAATTCAGAATATTGAGGCAGCCATAACAGTGCAACTAAAGACACTCAAGGAAGAGGACTTCCAGAGTTGCTTCAGAAAGTGTCAAGAGCAATGGGATAAGGGTGTTCAAAGAAGGGGGGAGTATTCTGAGGGGCACTAATGGCATGTTAAAAATGTAAACATTAGCCATATGTTTTGAGAGAAGGAAAGAAGGAGAGAGGAAGTAAAAGAAAAGGAAAAGAGGCTCCGACCCTGTTTAAGGCAGCATGGCCGGGTCCATCACTGCAGCACCCTCATTTGCTCACTGTCAAGTGCAGCCTGAACCTGGACAGCTTGACAGCCTGGCCTACCTGATGGTGTACGGTGTTCCTTGGGCCCCTGGGGAAGAAACACGGCCATTCTCCCCAGGTCCCTGATATATCCAAGTGTGGAATATCATGTGTGGCCCCCAGATTTTTATCTAATCCTACACTTCCTGAATCCAGGTGCAAGGACTCTACCATGGTCACAGGGACACCGTCCCTTACAGCACAGAGGCAGAAAGCAGGTGCTCTATAGCAACTCATAAAGATCATGACAATGACTTCTGTACACGTTAATTCACTGAGATGTTAATTTATATTTTTCTCTACCTTTAAGGAGAGTAGCTGGCATTTGTGTTTCATTGTATCTGAAAGAGCTGTATTATGGAGCCCAAAGCACATGAACATGAAGGGTAGTATTCTACTTTAGCCTTTGTTTTTCCAAACCTTAAACTTGCTGAGGAGATCTGCAGGCTTATTTCCAAGAGAAGGACTGAGAAACCAGTGCTTTTTAATGAGTGGTAAAGAAAGAAGCAAACAAATTAGGGGAGAGTGACTTGCTGAGACAAAGGTATAGAATGGTGGTTTAAGGATATGTAACTAATGAAACCCTCACTCTGCATGTCATACACCTTTGCAGCACTCCACAGAGATGGCAAGACTGCAGAGAGAGACACATATACAGTATCCAAAACGAGACTACCAGCTCCACTTAAGATGATATCAACACTCAAGCAAGAGATCCTGGAGTGGCTGCCAGGGACTCCGAGGGATCAAGCAAGAAACATAAACAAAAAATGCTTCCCTTTAAAACCTGCCTTCTATGAATATGAAAATACTCTCATGAAAAACAGATTGCTCAAGCTAAAACATGAGGTGTTCAGGAGAACTTTCTAACCATAATTGTGATGAAACCATGGAAATCATGAACAATAAATGTGGTGGAGTTTCCATGACTGAAGACAAATCATAAAGAGAACACTAGCAACCAGCTGTTTTGGATAACTAAGTCATTTGACCACCTGGATCTGTACAAATGATATCATAAGATACTTTCCAGAGCTCCAGTCCCTTATACAATTACAAATAACATGTTGGACTGTATTAAATCTCTCCTCTGCACTTGGCAGGAAAAATGCTTAATTTTCAACCATAGGGAAAGTCTTGTCTCAGGTTACATAATAGGTAGAGTTGGTAAAGCAACTAGTCTACATTTGGAAAAGGCTCTTCCTAGACAGAAAGTCAAGTAGAATATTGAGATTTTACTCAAAAAATCAAATTCATACCAAAGCTGAGTTCTTTTTCCTTACAAGCAAGCAACTGAATAGGTTAAGTGTTTAAGGACATACTGTAAATATTGGAGTCAAACTAACCCGATTCACTTTATTACACATCTGACATTTGGCAAGTTTCTAAAACTTACTTTGCTTCTTTTCTCATGTGTGAAATGGAGATAATAATGGTACCTACCTCATAAGACTCTTGTGATAGTGGAATGAGTTACTGTATGTGAAACACTTGTATTAGTCTCTGGTGCATTTGCCATGACACTCCATATATGGCAGGGTTTATTGTTATTAATATTATTATTACAGAAAATCTTGTGCTAATGAAGGAAAATATCTCACTTTTTCAACAGAAAAAATGACATAATTGGAAGTAAGGGGAAAAACAGTGTAACCATGTAACATTTGCCTGTGACTCAATCCTGTTGCCAATTCAGTCACCAATTTGCTAAGTGATCTTAGTAAGTTATATGAGCTTTCTTGTCTTAGTTTAAAAAAAAAAGAAACTAGTAAGAAAATGGTCTCACATCCCCTGTAGCTATAATAAGTTAAGATTTCATAGGGCTGGGATTTAGCTCTGTGGTTCTAGCAACTGCCTCACAAGCGCAAGGTCCCAAGTTCAATCCCCGGTACACACACACAAAAAGATTTCATGATTATAACACGGAACACTTTTAGTATACAAATGAGAAAGCCAAGGACCTGCGATGTTCAGTGACTTGTCAGTGGTACCATGTATTCCTTTCTCACTAGACCTTCTTCCCAACATCTCACTTTATCAGTAACTACAATAGTCTTATCCTCATAATTTTTACACTCTGTGGTCCCTATTAGTTTGTTCTCTTTATTCCCAGGAGCTAATCTGTCACATGTGTTCTTCTTTCTTCCTGGAAAATTATTTTAAGGTGCCCTTTCTTCTGCATTCCCTAATTTGCCCTCTTTCTCCAGAACTGGATTACTGTGACACTCTACCCCACTATTTCCATGTTCCTATTTCAATCCCTTCTGCAGTTACTACTAGCCTTTCAGAAACAAGTTCTTGTTCATCTGCAGAGGTTCTGCATTCCCCACCACCGTGGTTCCTCATAGGTGAGTGAGTGAATCACCTGGAGGTCAGTCTAGTTAAAATGCAGACTGCTGAGCTCCAGCCAGAGTTCCTGGTTCAAAAGGTCTGAG